GTTTCCCTATATCTTACTCTTCCTGAAGAGAATTTTACCCTTCACATCTGGAAAGCAATAGTATAATATGAATTGTTCAAACAGGCTATGCAGATAATATATAACATTACTACAAAATAAATTCTCTAGTCTTTAAAAGTGTATACAATATACTTTCTACAATGCTGTAATTTTCCTAATGACATTGGAAGCAATCCATATTGGTTTTGATTTTCATAATGATTTTCTGATGGATATTCAATCATATGTGAATTCTTTTGGCAGCTGTGTTTCTGGCTTATTTTTTGCTACTTTTGTTCGATCTATTGTTTGTGGTTCTTTTCTACTCTTTCCTTGTTTTTCATGTCGCCTTTCAGAAGCTGAAATTACCAACTGGGCATTCAGTTTCCATCTCCTGTTCCTGGCTACTTCCTACTTGTCTCTCAAGTTTTCAGACCACAAGTATTTCCTTTGTGTTTTCATCCTCTTTTGCAGAAGCAGTGCTTGACTGGTCTTTACACTTGTGCCATATTTTCTTTCTCTTAGTAGTAGGAGAATGATTATTTGGGCATGATTAAATAATACACACTGAAGACTTATTTTCCTTTGTTGATACTAAATAATTTTTTTTAGCATTATAGTAAATCAAGTTAGTATAATAAAAGAACATAGGAAAGCACATTACTACTAGGTAGCATTTAAAATCTAAGCACTGAATGGCAAATACTTTCTCAGTCATTTTATATTTTCAACCTTGGACAGAAACCAAGTGTCAAGCCTCTCATAAAATTATAGAAATACTTGGGAAAGTTAGAAGAATGTTAAGAGCCATAGTAACACTTTTTGGAAGCTTACTTATAGGCAAGTACTATTAGACATTTGTTTCAGTAAGTTAAATGGGCATTTTGCTAACTTTCTTTTTCCAATTTAATTGCCTCTGAATGTAAACAACTCCTAAGTTCATTACATTCCCTTTGGGAGGGAAATCTTGGCTTAGGAAGACTTCATCAGGAATAGTTTCTAAGCATAGGTATTCAAATGCAACTATTTCTGAGTGATTTTATGCCTTTAAAGATTCAGTTCCTCAGTCATGAAAATAAACTATCATTCCTAAACTGGCATATCACTTCATTGTGTAAATCTAAGTGTATTTCTAATATTTTTGGTTTAAATCTTTAAATGTACTTTTCAGTTGGCACTTTTTGAGTCTTAGATATCTAATATGATATGCATCACAGAAATATGTTCTGTAAAATGAAACATAAAGAATGTATGTTGCTGTATTTCTTTGTTTCTGGACTTAAGGTCACAGGGCTAAGTACCAGGTTATCCTGCCTGTAGAGTTCATTGACAAAACAGAAATGGAGAAAGGGTGAAAGAGAAAAAGGTATGAGTGCATCGTAGTAAAAAGAACATCTAAGAAAAAACAGATGTAGTTAACAACAAAGAGTTAATGATGGAGCAAGTAGGTTTGGCCCTTCTTTGACAAGACACGTATTTATTATTGCAGACTTTAATTAACCTTAATTTTGTTGTTAAACAGATCTGAGCCCTAGCTTTGGGAAGAAAAGACTAGCACACATTTTCAGTGTTCTGGAAAATAGGCAAACTAGGATTTACCTGGCAGTGTTGGGAGAAGTAAAATGTAAAATACTTAATGATAACAAAACCTTCTGGGAATTGTTTCTTGAGTACCTTTAGTTATTTACTGTGTTCCTTGTAATTCCCAGTTATATGCCATTCTAGGCGAGTCTCTAGAAAACTGATCACAGAATGAGCTTACTGTGTTCCAGACCTCTTGCCGCTAAGCAGGCCAGTGGCCGTTTCTAGAAAGGACAGTGTAAGCTGGAAGAAAAACAATTAATATAAGAATTGTTATATAGAAGACCTGGAAAGAAATTAATCCTGGCAGTCGCTTCTAATGTCTTTAATAAAATAGATCTTCCATGTTTCAATGGTTTATGAGTCCTAATCATCATGATTTTTTGAATCTAATAACTGTTAACAGCTTGTGATTCAGCATTATAAAACTAATGTCTCCCAGCAATAACATGATGGCAGACTTAGTCTAAGATGGGAATCATGCCAAAAACAATTACACTTTCTTTGTTATCCACTGTATCACCATTATATATTTGGAAATACCATCCCTTCTTTTTCCTCCTGCTTGAGAGACTAAATGGCCCACAACAATTGTGAGCATTTGTCTCAAGACAGAGTCTAAATACTACTTCTTAGCAATTTTTTATTACATGCCCTAGGTGCCCTTCCACTTATTTTTAAAGGAATTTCACACACAAAAGGATAGCACTGAGGTTTTTCAGTGTACAACAGCGAAGCTGAGCACTGTGATGAAATTTTCTTTTTACCTGGATTAAAGTTGAACCTGATTTATCTGGCTGGTCCACATAGCTTAATATTTGCTTATGTGTCCTTATGTCCTTATTTTCAAGATTTGTGTTAGAAGCAGTTTTTGTCTCTAATCCAGGGGGCTCTGGCTGAATTAAATGAGAATTTATCTGTGTGACAGTTTTCATAATAATTTTAAAGATAAAAAATGTTTTTGCTTTTATCATGTTATTTGTTGGGATTGTGTATGTGTGTATATACTGCTTTTAAGACGCAAGAGCTGGAGGTAGCTAGAACTGCAGTGTCTGGAGTTACCTAGCCTAGAGGTGGTGCTTTTTACTTGTCTCCCACTTCATGCAAGAAGGCGATCAAAATTGCAGTTTTACTCACCTTCCCCAGAAGCAGACACATACATGTAGGGGCTGATGGTTTACCCGGTGTAAATGTTATTAAATGGAGAGCTGATGGCTGTGTTAATCCAAGAGAACTGTTTGATGCATAGGTAGTAAGTAACTATAGTGAAGAGAGGTGGTATGATTTAGTGCCGTGTCAGGGAAGGTGTTCAGTTTGAAAGAACATCAGTTGTCTTCTGAAGAGAGTGGTCTGGATGCCTGTTTGTGTCACTCCTTCACCTGTTCAGGCAGAGGCCAGGGGTGTTAACAGGTCTGTCCTGTGGGTGGAAGGTAGAATATCACCTTTTGCTCTCTCATGGATTGACCCCAGCCAGCAGCTGAACACCCACACAGCCAAGCATGCATGCAGCCTCCCCTTCGCTCCCCCCTGCCCCAAGGAGACAGAGGGGAGAATAGGAAGCTCAAAACTGAGAAAACTTGTGGGTTAGGATAAAACCAGTTTAATAAATGAAGGAAAGAAAACACAAGTGATGCAAAGACAGCGGCCCATCTACAATCTTCTGTAGAATTCTCATCTGGGGATCTGAGTGTAAACCGGTGCTTTATTTTAATGTGCTTTTTTGAAGGTGGATTATAAGTCACTAGCGCCTTTATTGTACCAAGTTTAGAAAGTATTTAGCCTTCGCTGCAGATGAGAAGCAATTGTTCATGAGTCTGTGGGGAGGTAGTGAGTCGGTTTTGTCTTGGTGAGAGCACAATGATTTGGAATAGAACAAGGAGTTCCAGTAAATTTAAACAGAAAAAGCTGTTCAGAAAATTCACAGCCTTTTTCAGAAACCTTTGTTCAACATGAGCTGTGTTACACCCTTAATACACTTAAGATAAATACTGAAACTTTATGTAAAGATTCGCAGTTGGAATGGAAGAGGTCTGACCACCTTGTACTCTAGCCATAGAAAACCTGAAGCATCCTTTTGTAAAGGGGTTATTACTCATCAAGTGTTTTAATTACTTGGATTCTCTCACCTCAGGTGAGAATCTGACCTAATTAAAGTCAATAGGTAATAACTTGAAACTGGCAGAGTCAGAATTTCACCCATAGTGTTTAGGTGCTTTTAATTGGAGTATAGAAATAATTAGAGCATGAGAGATGACTGTGGTAGCAAAGATAGGCAAAGCCATGAAAGACAGTAACTGAATAATAACAGCCATGAAGTGATATTAAAAAAGAAAAGTGATAACTTTAAAATAGAAAATACTGAATTCATGTTAATTGAAGTCTGAGAGATTTAAAAAATAAGTCAACTTATTTTTGACCTTATGTGAATTATGTTCAAGGATTAGTGCCCTAAATAGCTGGGCAAAATTAGCTTCAATTACACTGTGATTTCTGTCTGTAAGCGGGTCAAGAACAGCAGGGATTGCAATGAGACATTGCGGTGTCTCTTGTTCAAGCCGACTGTGTGCAAACGGAAGAATACATAGGTGATAAATGAGAATCAGAGATGAACGTTTCCCTACTGTAGCCTGGTTTTAGAACTTGGACACTAGTATATCCTGCAGAGTCAAGGAAGAGAGTAGTCCAGAAGAACAAGCTCATTTAAACAGGCTGTGGTGATCAGTTCCATTCATCAATTGGCTTGAATTGTCTCCAGTGATAAAAAGTGAATAATCAGCATGTTATTTACACCTATGAGATTATTGTTTCTGCAGCATGACTGCAAGTGTCATCCAGAAGGACCAGCTTTTGCTGAGTCATACAAAACAGGAGTTAAAATAATGCCTTGAAGTGGAAGGGTTTTAAAGCAAACCAACTTCTTACTTTTCTGCTGTTAATAGATTTGCTTCTAGTTTTGGCTTTGTATTTCCCCAAGTGGAAAGTTACTTAAGGCATTTTGCAAAGAGCTCAATGAGTCTTGAACTCAGAGCCAGTTTACTTTTAGCATTAAAAAAAAATTATCTATTTCCATAATACTATGTGTGGTCATAATCACTCATTTTATAAGTTACAGCTTACATTGATGTTTACATCAGTATTCTTTATAGTATAAACTGAATTTAGGAGTAACTTGGTGAGTTTATTTCTAAATTAATTGTCTAGGCATCTGAACAAAACCTGATTTTTTTTTCTTTGTTTCTAGCAGAAACTTTGTATTACTGATTAATAATACTAACAAATAATAATCTCTATAAGCAGAGTATTACTGTTTTATCCTGGTATTTGATCAGATATTTTAATTATTTCTCATAAATATATACATGATAGAGTTTTCGGTAATTTTTTTTTTTAAAGAAATTCTCCCACCTAATTGTTTTTCTTTATCCTCCCTAGTCTGCTCCCAGTTTTCAAGAGGAGTCTTTGCTATTTTTGGATTCTATGACAAGAAGTCTGTAAATACCATAACATCGTTCTGTGGGACTCTTCATGTCTCCTTCATAACTCCCAGCTTCCCAACAGATGGAACACATCCCTTTGTCATTCAGATGAGACCAGACCTCAAGGGAGCTCTTCTTAGCTTGATTGAATACTATCAGTGGACCAAGTTTGCCTATTTATATGACAGCGACAGGGGTAAGATGTGCTACTTTTTATCTGCATGCTGTTTGCAAGATGTATCTTACTGAAATGCTGAATTAGTATTAGAAAGTAAATGAGGGAAGGAGTATTTACTTGCAGCAAGCATAAGCTAAAATCCAGAAGTGAGCTTTTGGAACAAAACCAAGATTGTTTAAATGAGAACAAAATAATTACAGTATGTCCTAATAGAATTACAAGCACTTGCCTATAAGCAATGTCAGATTAATCACAATGTAAAATAGTTCCTGTGAAAAGTTTTTTTCTTTTGGAAGAGTCACCTAAGTAGGAAAAAAGCCCATCTGAGCATGAAGGGCAATCTGCTACCACAGATTCACTCCACACATGCAAAATCGATAGTTGGGCATCAAGCAAGCAAGAATCTTGGATGCAGTCCCTGCTTCTTTGGAGACTGCTTCTGATAAACACTAGAATTTCTCTCCTCTGTTGAACTGAGATTTATTTGTTACTGTTGTTGATAAACCCAAATCGCCTTCTTGTGAGGAATTTACTCTGTGGTACAGCCTTCTCAAGTCCTATGCTCTTTTATGGCTGTAATAATAACATAATAGTTTGTGAACTGGGAAAAAGTACTTGCAAATCATGGTATATGAGTTTTCTGAGAAGCAGCAGCATTATACAGAAGTGGTGGGGCTTTTTTTGATTTCCTTTTCTGGAATTCCATTATCATCATTCTGTTTTCAGGTTCTCCTCACCTACTAGTACGTGGTTAACTTTTTTTTTCTTTTCTTAGCTTATCCTGTTCCATTTTAAAAAGGCTATTTTATGGCTTTCCTGCAGGTTTGTTGGTCAGAGTTGAGTATTAAGTGCACATTAAATGGTAAGATGCCCCTGGATTTAAAGGATGGTTATGCCATAGATTTGTCCAGTAATGGGGTGACATTAGATTCTCTACATTCTGATGCTGTTTTATACATCGTGTTGTTCAGAAGCTGAAGGGACCTCTTCAAGACAGTTCTTCATCACTGTTGTAACACTAAAGTCAGGAAAAACTTATACTGGTATGCAGCCTTCAACACTAATGTCATGTGGGATGATGAACCCTAAGCCCATATCTCTGGCAGATGCTTTTCAAATTCACATTAGAATCAGAAACATTCACTGCCTTTTTAGAAAGGACAGATGTAAAACTACTCGCTGAGCCAATATTCTGTCTGTCAGCTAGCAGTGTGCAGTATGTGACCTGCATGTGATTTATGTTTAGGAAATACTGAAAAATACCCAGTTCTTCTGAGCTGTACTGGCTGAATCTGGCCAGGAAAAACAGCATGAAATCGTTATTTGTAGTCACCCTTTGGTTATGCCTTTTTTTAATCCTTGTTTGTTTGTTTTAATTGTGGCAAGGCACCCCAGTGATAACAAGCTGCAAGGCATGAAGCTCCTACCTTTATGTTGAGTAAATAGTTGCTCCTCAGTGCTGCTACTGATTGCACAAGGTTAACCTGCAGAGCTGAGCAGTATGTAGTCAGCAATACTGACATCAAACCCTGTGTACACAGGGTCCACAGTTCCTCTGAGCACTTCTACCTATGTGTTAACGTAGCAACAGTGATGTATTTTTAAGGAATGACTTCTGCTTTAAGATATTTCCACCTTCAGGAGTGAGATAAAAAAGGCAAAGACACTTACTCTTCATGGAAGCTGTGAAAGCTAATAGGAATTAGTTTGACTTGCTCCAAAAGAATAGTTTATTGCTCCTTTTACAGTTCTGCTGTGGTAAGGGACAGACTGGTTGAAGTGTGGGGCAGTTTGATACCTCACTCCTGTCTGTGAGAAGTGAGGCCATGCATGTCCAAAGTGTTACTGGCTTAATGCGGCTTGCATACAAGGTGGCTTAGGGTCCTTTACCCTCCTTGTCTCCTCTGTGGTTCCAGTACTAAACAGTGGGGTTTAGAAAAAGTATTGACTTTGTTGGAAGATTTTCTGTAACAGAATTGCTAATTTACTCAGCCTGTGTCCAGTCCTCCATTTCAGAGCTCACTGAATTAAGAGTTTGTCTCATGCTAACCTAAAGAGGGTCAGGTACATGAGGTTCCCAAACAGGAGTATTCTTGCAGTTTCCAAATACTTCCATATCCACAGATTTTTTTGCTGTGAATGCTTCCCTCCCCTCCCCCGATTCTTTTGCAATGTGTTATTGCTATCAGAATGAACTAAACTGTATGGGAATGACAAATCTGCCACCTATAAAAAGCAAGAAATCCAGGCAGCCTTTTGACATTTCTACAGAGAGCACCCCAAGAAGAGGGAGTCCCTAGGAAAAATGGAAGCTCAGAGGAGTAAAATATAGAAACCCTTTTTAGTGGATAGCATTAACATTAATAGCCCTTATTAATTTATACTTAACTGAGATTGTTTAACTTGAAAGAACTAGAGGGGATCTGAAATCTGAAATCTGCTAATTGAGATCTGAAACAATGATCCAGATTGTATCTGTTCAGGTTTTAGGGTTTTTTTTGTTGTTGTTTGTTTTTTTGACTTATTGTAAAATACCATTTAAAACATATTGAATTATAGACTTATTCTAGTGCTTTTTAATGTTTTAAGATATTCCCTACATCTTTTAGTTTGCCTACATTAATTGTCTTTTCCTTTTAGTACAAGTTCTCCTCGCTTATCTTTGAGTTGTTATAAATAGTTTATAAGTACCCCTAGACTGTAGTTATCTATTATTTTAAAGTAAATATTCATCGTATGACATACAAAACTTCCTATCAGTTCCTTTTAAAGACAACATAGAAAAACAGGACTATTAGAGATAAATCATTGAATTTATGCTTTTGGAAGCCTGCCTGTTCTCTGCCTTTGCTGATTACCTGTCTTGTATAGTGCTGTGTGTCATCACCGTTGTCACTGATAAAGCCGAATTTTTAAGCACTGACCAATCTTAATTTAGTGATGTATTTACAAACTCTTGGACAAATGAATTCTTAGTGCTTTCTTTCTGCGTTTATGAGTGTAACCACTGTTATTACTCATGAGAGTTGTACCTGAAGCTTCCTTTTCATTCCAAGTCAGAAATTTGTCTCAAAAAAATGGCTGCTGGTGTTCTGTGGTTTCAGAGGAGATGAACGTGCAAAAATTTCACCTGGCTCATGAGAGAGTCAGATTTTAATTTCTCTATAATGCTGTCCTTAAAGTTGCTCTCTAGACTTACGTAGAATTTTCAAGAAGGAATTTAACAAGTTTAATTTCCTGTACTGCTGAAAATTAAGCGGTTTTTGTTGTATAGAAGAAGTTAATTTCTAGCAGTAATTTTCATGTTTCTATAATCTCTTATTTAATCACCGAAAAGGAAAACCAGTCAAGTAAAATCTTTGCTGATTTGACGATATATGGAAGGCAGTTACAGCTGTACAGGCATTACAGCTTCCTGGCAGGAACATGCTGAAAGGATAAAATGGAAGCAAACTTCTGTAGACTGCTTGTAGTTGTGAGCATTGAGCCCCCTTATCTATGTGGGGAAGCAAACCTCAGCACGTCTCTCGTAGCCGGGGGTAGCCGCTACACAACAGGAACAATAACTCCATTGGCAGCCCTGCAGAGCGTGGGAATCTTGCCACAGACCTCAGTGAGGTCTGAGTTGAAATGCAGTACTGCTCAAGCACTGGGAACAGAAGCAGCTCAATAGCATTTTGTAATAAGCAGCTGATCCCCTTGCCATAATTGGATCACTTTTCCCCTAGAAGACACCTTTCCAAGCATGTGGAATTCCAGCAGTGGATTAGCGAAACTGGCAAAATCCCATTCTGAAGAACAGTGAAACAAAACCAAAGGGTTGTCATTGGAAGACCCTACGCTGGTTCCTTGCAGTGATGTAAATAAATATTTGATGCAAAAAGAACTGATCAGGCCCATCCATATCTTCATTTCTGAGTCCTAACAATGCATGGCAGGTCAAACAAGTTACAGAGAAATCTTAAGTAGGTCTATAATCTTATAAATCGTGTTGTAGAAGCTTGTTATTACTGAAGCTTTATCAGTTATAACTTCTGTTTTCCCCTGTACTTCACTAGGCTTATCAACTTTACAAGCTGTGCTGGATTCTGCTGCTGAAAAGAAATGGCAAGTGACTGCTATCAATGTAGGAAATATTAACAATGACAGAAAAGATGAAACTTACCGTTCACTGTTTCAAGACCTAGAAGTAAAAAAGGAAAGGCGAGTGATTTTGGACTGTGAGCGTGATAAAGTCAACGACATTGTTGATCAGGTTTGCTGTTCTCCTTTCTTCAGCGACATCAGTTGGCTATATTCTATAAGTAAACATACTGTGCTCAGTTTTCTAGATCCTATTTTTGTGATTATGCATCGTTTGGAATGACAGGTTTGTATTGAGGGCCACTCATATATCGGGCAAAAACTGAACATTCAAATCCTATAATCCTTCCCTTTACTCAAAGGCAAGATAATTCTGTCTGGATGATTCTGTATGGTTTTATATCCTGATTATTTGAAAAAAGAAAAAAATCTTGTTAAGGCTGTTTCACAACTGAAGTAGTATACTGTATTATATGCAGTTGATACACTGTTATATATGGTTCATTATAAATAGTTATATTATGTCTAGGGATTAGTTCTCCTTACACCTAGAAAGTGTTTTTTTACTTCTAATGCTTTTTCCACGAACCTTTCACGTCTTGGGAAGGCTGTATCTACAGCTTCTCTTTTCCATTTAACACCCTTCACAGTTCCTGTTTCTAAGCTCTTTGTCATTCGTACTGTCCTTGGGTCTCTTTTCATCTCCATCTTTAAGTGTGTTAGCCAAAATTGGGTGCTGTTTTCCATAGCTAAGGCCTCCTGAGCTTTAAACATAACAGAAAGTGATCTATTCTCTCCACCTACACGTCTTATTTGCCAATTTTATTTTTTTTTCAATTTTATTTTTTTCACGACAGTGTCACAGTGCTCTGATTCAAATTACTGCATTACCTTCAATCACCTCTTCAGTCCTAGTGTCTAGGCAAGTCTTACTGTCTCTGTAATGGAAAATTATAAGGATAGCTCCCTGCTGGCTTGAGGTTGACCATGTGAGACTGCATAGCATCTGTAGGGATACAACATTGAAGTGTAGATGTATTGGTGTGTAGCTTTTTTGAAGGACTTGTTATTTTTGTCTTTGTTATGAAGGTTACATTTTTGGAGAGGCTTGGGCAATGCCAGTGTCCTAAATGGGAGTGCATTGTATTTGTCCTTTTTATTTAGACTTCATATCCATAAACTGTTTCTCTGATTTTCAAGATCTATTTGAACTTTCTCTCTGTCATCTGCAGTTTTTTAAAATTATATTTGCTGACTTGTTTCCCGTGTCAAGAAAGGTACTGAGTAGAGCAGTGCTTCAGAGAAAAATAGTACTTATAGGTGGTCCTCAGCTGGCTCTGTGTGCCTTTTCAAACAGCTGTTTGCTTACCTTCCAGTGACTTTTTGTCATGACTGTGTTCCCTTAGGAGTTTGTAATGATGTCATACAGGACAAAAGACTTATTAGACTCAAAATATGTCACATCTGCTGTTTCCTCATTGCCTAATTAGGCTAGCTCTCATATTGGAGAAAGGAAAGCATCTGCTTTGACATATTTTGGTCTTGACTATATTGACTGCTTATTGTCTTACTATCCTATAGATTCTTGCAAAATTAAGTATGTAATATTCATTATAATCTCTTCCCTGCTAAGAAAGTTGGACTGACTGTAAGTATCTTCATTTTCTCCTTTTACTACTTTTCAAAGGCAAAACCCCTCTTTGCCCTTTAGTTATCACTAATTTTTACTGTCTGTAGTTTTTAGTAACAGACCTGTTTTTTTCTTTGTCTGCTTCTTATTTTGATTGCAGCTCTGGGGTATTTTGATTGCTCTAATTGCACTTTGACAGATTCTGCCTTGTTTTGAGTCTTAGATTTTCTCAGCTTATCCCCACAGACTTGTGCTACTCCTTAAGCATGTGGATGGATAAACTTCTCTTTCTGCTGCTCTGATTTGTATGTCACTGAAGAATTCTAGATAACTGGATCAGCCACACATGTCAGTTAATATAATTCCAATTAGTTGTTCTCCTCAAAATAATTTACTGCTATGCCCTAGAATAAAGACTTTTAAACTGCTGCTTGCTATCTGTCATGGGTTTAGCCTTGAAATTCTCTTTGCAAGATACACTTGCACTTTCTGGAGTTTGGTCTGGTTTTAAAGTCCATTGTCCTTATACTCTGTTTCTGTAGCTACCTTTCCTCACACAAAAAGGTGTGGAAGAAAAGAAATTTCTCAAACAGCCTGAAATGAAATCTAAGTAACTGTTTCTCTATTAATTTTCTGTAAAGTGAAAGTTTGTGCTGAACAATGGATTTCTTGGCCTGTGAGTGTCATCTGAGTGTAATCTTTTGATTGTTTTCTAAAAGCAGCGTACATACTTCAAATCTTGCTTTGCTGCCAGATTTGTTCTTAAAAAAGTTCTTTTAATTCATACACTGAAAAAACCCTCAGCAATTTCCTGAGGTAGACGTGTTGTACCAGTATCCATTTTCCTGTGTCTTTTTACTGAAAGACATGCAACAGGCTTTCTGCTGAGCAGATTTTTCTTAATTACTGAAGTATTATTTCCATTCTTGATACACAGAGCAGCAACTTCTTTACTTTGTTCCTTGCTTTCTATTCCTGAACACACCTTAGATTTATTCCACTAACGTTTTAAGTTGTGGTGTCAACCTCAAGTTCACTCAGTTACACTCCGTAGTCCTTGGATCTTCATATAAACACAAGATGTGTTGGCAAAATTGCTTCATAATTCTTGTTTTTTTGTCTCATGTTATACTTTCCTTTCCAGATTGCAATGATTTATATAAATTGAGGTTGAAAAATATTTCAGTTCCCCAGCTCTTCTCAGACTAGTTTATATTCCTCTTCCCTGATTTGGCAGATGAGTGTTACTCATGCATGTAGCCTCTATCTCTTCTCAGCCAGCTTTCTTTACAGAATCCAATTTCCCCCTGATAAAACCCTTTGGGCAGCTGTGCAGTTACTGCCACTTCTTTCCTACCCCTGCTTGACGTGCTGCTCTAAACTAGGGAAGTTGGTGAATACCTTTTGTATCCACAGCTCCTTCATCATGGCTTTTGGAGTCACCACTAAATCTTTGCAGAGTGTTAACTTAAAAACATCCTTAGTGTTCATATGCATAAGTTGCACAGGACAATGTTATAGGAAAGGTAAATTAATAAAATATTGCCCAGTGGCAGCGCAGAGGTACGAACCATTGATCAGAAGACTGGAAGCCACTGGTTGTTTTTTTTTAGATACCAATGACAAAGAAGCATTTTATGCAGAAAAGGTGGTCTGTTTGGTTTAACTGAAATGTCTTTGGAAGCAGAAGCTACATAAGAAATACATCTGAACGTAGTTCTTAAACCTTTTAATAAGTAATGAGTTTTAAATAGTCTGAAACAAGTACTTGTTTTAGAATAATTAAGTTCATATATCATGTATATGTTGAGCTCAAAAGAGGAATAATTTAATAACCTCTATGGCTGATATAATGTGATCCCTCTCGGTCTCAAAATCTAGTAATATAAAACTTAGTTAAAAACTGCCTTCAGTTCTATTTCTGTAACTTCATTAAAGCAAGTATGTGGAATATCGTTAACTACAGGATACCTATTCTGAGTATTTTAGTTACATGTTAAATGAGGAAGTAAACAAGTCATCCTCTCAATTTAAGTCATTCTCATTGTTTGAAAGATGGAAGAAACCTCTAGAGTACTCTTATCTCCAACATCCTTTCTCTGGAGAAGTATTTTGCTTCAAAATGCAAACACCCTCATGCAGACATAGTAATAATTAGGCTTGTCTGGGAGAAGAATCCATGCTACATGCCTGCCAGTGGAGACTACTGAGAAACCACTAGCTGACTTTGACAGAGATTATAAAGAAGCCTGAAGGCAATAAGCAACAATTTGATCTTCCTCATAACGTAGATGGCTTTCATTAATGTCAGTGGGCTTTTAAACATTTTTTAGTTCAAGGAACATTACAATTCTGCTACAAAGGGAGCAGACTCTAAGCAGGAATCTGAGGCACGGTGCTTGTACTGCATGATGCCTGCTCTCTCCTGTCCAGGTTGTGCCTTTAATATAGAGAACAGTAATTAGCATTCAGCTCCTCTGTTTACACATCTTGGGACTTGAAGTTCAGCATGACTATTCTCTACCAGCAAAGAGAATGTTCAGTGGTGCATTAGGTAAAATAAAAACTAAAGCACTGAACAAACTCAGTATGGCATACCATGAAGCTCATAACTAGCTTTTACATCATACTGCTTTTTCTAGTTTTTAAGTCTCAATCCATGTAGCAGGTGAACATTCTCCATTACAGGGGTATTTCTTCTTTTTTACAGGTTATCACAATTGGTAAACATGTTAAAGGATACCATTACATCATTGCAAATCTGGTAAGCATTTTTGATATTTAAAATACATGTGTTACTCATTTCATTGTTTATGGTACAAATATTACCAGTATTATTTAAACTAGTGTTTTAAATGCCTTTTAGAAAATAGGAAGAAGTTAAATGTCTTTATCCTTGCTAAATGAATGAATATGTTGAGATGGTATTTGTTTTATTTGCTGAGTCTTTTCAGTACTTAAATGCCTCCTGTGATACTCCCATCGATGGGAGTGAAGGTTGCTCAGCACCCTCAGTAGAGCTTCATTCCTTTTTCTACATACTTTAGAAAAGTAAGGTATGGAAATCAGAAAAATAACTTTCTGCATGATACATTCTTTAAGCAGACTGATGTTTCTTCTCTCACCTTTAACATATTTCAATTTACAGTTTTCGGTTTTCATTCTGATAGACTAATGAGTCTCAGTTTTACACGTCCTCATTCCTCAGATTGGCTTGGTAATCAGTTTGAATTAATCTTGTCTTGAACATAGGTGATCAAACAGTATAGCAAATAGTGTTCCTAAGGAGAGAAATTCAGGAAACTGTCACTAAATTCTGTCAAGGTAATTTTTTTGAAATTATTTCTAAAGGTGAAGGACAATTTTACTGACATTAAAGTCCACACCACTACCTGAAGCTAGGCAATAGAATCCAATTTTTCTTTTTTTTTTTTTTTTTTTTGTAACAGACAAAGCAAATTCTGCAGGCTTGAATGTCACTCCATTCCAGAGAAGAGTTTTGGGGGTTGTGCAGTGTGGGTGCCTCTGAATCATTTTTTGCATCATTTATTCTTGGACTGTGATAGCGTTTGTATAAATTACAGCAGGACCGAGAGCGATCTAGTTTACACTCTGCCTTCTAAAGTCCTTTGAGGGGCCTGAGGAAATAGAACAACCATAGCATGTCTATCACCCTTCAGACACAACCTGTCTCCTCCCAACCTTTGATCAAAACACTAGATTATTGTCCAGGCAGGCAATAGTCTGAAGGATCACATATGTCGCTAGGTAGGTGCAAGGAAGCCTCACACTAAAGGCCTCTTTAAAAGCAGATCAGTGGGATTTCATTTTTGTATTATTAACTCATTTTTAGGCTAAAGAAGTTAAGGTACTGGTATTCACAAAGCAAGCATAAAGCGCTCACAAAATTTGAAAAATTTCCTGTTGCACATAGGTATTTTGCATTGCAAATGTTGTATAAGTAGTATTTTGAGTCTCAAGGGAAACAAACATTTTAGAAAAATTGCCTAGTGTACTTTATGTGAACTTGCTGCTGTTTTAGCCATTGCTTTAAGTGTGGAACAGTAAGTCTGTAAGATATAATACTGAAACTTGTATTTCATAACTGTTTAATATCATATTTGCTTCCTAAGATTTACAAAGTTTAAATGCAAATATTGTAGATCTTTTGTGTAATATCAATAAAATCAGTAATGATTTTAAAACTGTTTTTCTCTGCCAGAAGGAAAACTTACGTTACTCAATCATACCCCATCTTCTTCACTGAATCCACCTTCTTTCTTTTCTTGAATGTAATAATGTTCTTCTCCAGTCTGATCAGTCAGTCAAGAAGCTGATCTATTTTAAGAAGAAAACATGCTGATAGATGGAGGTCAAATATACAGTGAACATTCCTGTTCAATTGTCAAGCTCACAGTAATATTGAAGAAAGACTCATGTTCCCTGTAGAAGTGCCTGTTTTAGCAAGCAGCACCACATCACTGATGAGTATCATTAATATGCAATAACTAGAGAGCACCTAGTATAGCAACTCTAACAACTTCTGATAATGTGGTTCGTTTTTCATGTATATCAGTATTTCATGTGAATTCATTTGTATGGTTATTTGGGGCAAGTTAAAAAACAGAACCTGGAAAACAAAACACATATACTGTTTGTAAGAATGAGAAGTATTTCTTTATACAGGAAGGGAGGGGGCAGAGGAGATGGTAAGTCCTTCCACGTTGCTGCAGTGTTCCTGGCAAAAAGAGGACACAACCGTGGCTGTAACTATTCCTGGTTAAAAGTTGCTTGCCTGTTATTCATGTCAGTGTTCCTTTTCTCGTTTAAGCAGTCCAATGGCAATTAACAGGATTGTTTAGGAAGGTAAGCATGGCAAGGACAGCTCTTTGTAGAGATAAAGGTGTATATCTAGTGAGCAACAAGAAGCATTGGCTGGCTGGTGGAGCTGACAACACAATCCTGGCAGCCCAGTATTTAAACTTGGATCCTGTTTGAGGAAAATGTTGGCTTATACTTGTGCAGTAGAAGTCACATGGCAACTGTTCATTTGTACATAGTATTGAGAGATCTGCCAAAACTGTTGGAATAACAGACATATTGTTTTCTGTGCCCAGGGATTTACAGATGGAGATTTATCAAAAATTCAGTTTGGAGGGGCTAACGTCTCAGGATTTCAGATAGTTGACTATGATGATCCTCTGGTATCAAAATTTATACAACGTTGGTCAACACTGGAGGAGAAAGAATATCCTGGTGCACACACTAGTACAATTAAGGTATGTTTAACTTTTGTTTTAACTGTGACAGATGTACAGGAAGTGAGGGAATTGCAATAGAAAGACAAGAGACAGAGAAAACCTCTCAGAATCAGCTGTGCCAGCACAGTTTTATATTTCTCTGGGGTACTTTTAACATTCTCTGTCACAGGACTCATTGAACAAAGATGCTGCACTGTCAAAAATGTTCAAGACAACTTTAATGGTTCTTGTGTTACTGTGCCAGACACCTTGTTAAGTAGTTGTTTTGGATGTGATGATGTATTAAGTATCTACTTAATTTTTTTTTTCTTTCTCTGTGGTATGAAATGTTTTAAAGGCAAATATATAGTTACACATAGGCTTCCACAGAGCACAGATCTAGCACTTTCTGATAACATATTATCACCCAAGGAAATTGTAAGAGTGTTGCTTTCAAACAGATGTGTAAATTCTACAAAGACTTTTAAATGGTATGCCTGAGTTACAGAATCATGGTCCAGTTTCAGGCCTGAGTGACACAAGATGTGCCACTGGGCAATCTTCCTTATCTCGGTTTTCCATCTGGGTGAAGCTAGGGTAATAGTACTGTCTTACCTTCTGTGACCATTATGAGGATTAATTGGTGCATGCAAGATGTTAAAAAGAATAATGCAATTTTAATGCTAAATAATTTTTCTTAAGTAATACAATCAGCAATTTTATTAAGAATGAGTATACTTAAATAACTCTAAAGTGTATTTAGACAAAAAGATAAATGGCAAAAGTTCTAGGCATAACGCCTTTTTTTGTAGATGCATTCAGATTACATATGTGTAATATATATGATATGTATTGCTGTCATTTAGGAAAAAGGGAAGGGATGTGGCTGTTGACAATTAATACAATTCTTTTGTCTTATTCTTGAGTGCCCAAACACGCATACCTGCTTAGCTCCTAATGTTGCAGAATTGTAGTCTGAAAATAATCACAGTGAAATGCATGACTAAAAAAGTCTGACTGAAATCAAGATGCAGTTTGTCTCACTGATGGAAAAATAATTCAGTGGAACACAGTGCTAAGGCTTCTGATACTGCTGGTATTACTTACAGTAGGAGGGAGATTGCATGTGTGTTATGTAAGATGAAGTGGTTGCGATGTTTTATTATAGCATTAAAATCTGTAACTTTATTACAGATATTCACTTTATTTCTTCTGTGAAAGGTCCTTCCCAGTCTCCTAGAAATTGAAAGGGTTGAAGGAGAGTATTTGAAGTATCTTATGGTTTGAGATTTATTTTGTTATGGATAGCAAAAATAAATTAATTGAAACATCTATTTTCATGAATTTCATTAACTTAAAATATGTTTTAAATTCAGCTAAGAAGGCTGATCTGTCTTCCTTTATGTATTGTCTGCTCAAGGCATGTACAGGATCATACTGATAATTTATAAATGCTAGAGGTATCAATGGAGGAAAAATGTGGGTTTATATTGCAGTGTTTGGAGAGACTGATTGTATCAGTTACTATATTTCTTTGTGTAGCTTTCTATCTTTTGGCCTTATACACATATTACTTGTCATTTTTGCCTGCTTATAATGTGTAAGGACAGAGATATGTCACATTTCATTCCTGTCCTTGAGGGAGCTAGAGGCAGGGCAGAATCATAAATCATAGAAACAGGGCAAGAAAGGTCTTTGAGCAGTCAGTCACCCAGCCCATCCTCCCTGCCTTGAGGCAGAATCAGACATACCTGTGCCATTCCTGTGGATAGTGTTTTCACAAATCCCTGAATGTTCTGTTTCAGAGCTTAAATATTTTTAGTTTTGAGGTTTTGTCTAACCTAAATCAGCCTTTATATCACTGAATCCGTTACTTCTTTATCTGTTTCTAATGTATATGAGGAAGGTCTCCTTTTTAGTTTTCCTTCTACATTTGAGGATGGCTGCCATATTTGTCCTTGCTTTCCTTCCCAGCTGAACTAAATAATCCCTCTCCCTTTGAATTTTCTGATCTAAGATCGTGTTCATCATTTTGCTCTGGAACCTTTCTAATTGGCATCCATCTTCTTTGAAGTCCCAGACTGGGTACTGCACCACATCTGAGTGCAGTGCTGTAGAAATCAAAATAATAGCTTCACATATCTCGGAGACAGTCCTTCTTTCAGTGCTTCCTTTTGTGTAGCTCTTTTTTTTTTTTTTTTTTCCCCTCTTCCTCCCTGTCATGACACCATTGAAATATTCATCATGAGATACACACTAATATCCAGATCTTTTTCTGCACTGCTTTTCTGTACTGCTGCCAATTTAGACAGCCTTATACCCTATCTGTGCACTTTATCATTCCTTTAAAGTACAGGATTTTCCATCTGTTCTTCTTGAATTGCTTTCCC